AGTCAGGCCCTCCGTTGTCCCCTGATGGCGTCACGAGCACCCTCACGTCCTGCCCTCTCCGAGCAGGGTTCTTGGAGGCCTCACCGAAGTCCTCCCTCCTCCCAGAAGGCCGCCGCCCAGCGCTGGGCCCTACCGACCACGGTGGGCTCCAGGTCCACGAACACCGCCCTGGGCACGTGCTTGCCGGCCCCCGTCTAGCTGACTGTTGAACGAGTCGTCCCCGCCGCCGATGGTTTTGTCACTCGGCATCTGGCCATCGGGCTGGATTCCGTGTTCAAGGCAGTACAGCTCCCAGCAGGCATTGCCGATCTGGACACCCGCCTGCCCCACGTGGATGGAGATGCACTCGCGCTGGGGGCGGGAACAGAACGGGACCCCTATTAGACTTCGAGGCAGTTAAAACTATTGGGTCATCAGAAAAGTTATGACTTTTTTTTAAAAATTTTCTATGCAAAAGTGCATAATGACTTTTCTGACAACATATGGCATGCAAAATATTTTAATTTGGGATCAGCAGATGGCATAATGGTGGTTAAGCAGCTGAACTCCCACGTAGTTGACTGTGGTTCAAGTCCTGGATCCAGTGACTTAAAACTCACACCAAACCCGTATGCACACAATCCAAAATTCTGCGAGAATGGAGAAGTGATTGCGGCATGGCCATCCCCCCCGGGGGGTGGTGACTTCTCACTTTGTGTCTCTCTTTGTCCCTCTGGTAAGGGCACATGTCCTATACCAAAGATCTAATAAAACAAAATCACAATTTAATATCTGATAGGTATTTCAGTATTCAGGACTTTCTCAACCTTCACATTCCGAGAGGTTTCAGTGACCTCCTTATACCTGTGAGAAGTGACTTGCTCTAAGCCACCACAGCTAATAAGTGCCAGAGTCAGCCCCGTTACCTGGATGTCTGCCACCACACAATGATGATGTTATTTAAAGACTTGGAAGTCAGATACCAGCAGCTGACGTAATGGCTATGTTGCTGGACTCCCCTGTAGCCGACCGTGGTTCGAGTCCTGGACCCGGTGGTTTAAACTCACATCGGGCGCATGGGCGTCCGTGTTCAAGGGATTGCAGCGTGGCCATCCTTTCTGGGGGCTGATTTCTCGCTTTCCCCTCACTGTTTCTGTTTCTCTGGTGATAGCACATGTCCGAAAAGTTTACTACAGGGCACATGTACTCACTGGAGAGAGGCAGAGAAAGTGAGAAAGAAAGCCGCAGGTTCAGGACTCAAACTGCAGTTAGCCACGTAGGAGTCCAGTGTCTTAACCACTATGCCACCTGCTGTCTGCCCCCTTTAGCTTCTTTTTTTTTAGAGATTATTTGCTACGGAGTGTGTGTGTTTGGAGACCAGCAGTTAGTGTAATGGCTATGTCGCTGGACTCCCATGTAGTCGACTGCGGTTCGAGTCCAGGGCCCAGTGGCTTAAACTCACGCCGCACTCGTGTGCGTGCCTAAGATTTCATTTCTCGCTTTCTGTCTCTGTCTTTCTGGCAAGCGTATGTGCCCTGTAGCAAAAACCTCTCCAAAAAAAAGTATGTTTGCCAGAGAGACAGAAAGTGAGAAATCACCCCCCAGGGGAGATGGCCACCTCGCAATCCCTTCTCCTCTTGGGATTTTGGGCATACAAGCATATGCTTCTGGTATGAGTTTCAAGCTGCTAGGTCCAGGATTGGTCCCTAAGTGATTAAATACTTTAAAAGCTTCTCAGTTTCAATTTCTTTTTTATTATTTTTTTGAGAGTTTTTTGCTATAGGGCACATGCGCTTGCCAGATAGACTGAGAGAGACAGAGAGACAGAAAGTGAGAAATCACCCCCCAGGGGAATGGCCACACCACAATCCCTTCTCCTCCATTCTCCTCTCGGGATCTTGAGCACACACGCACATGCAACTGGTATGAGTTTAAGCCACTGGGTCCAGGACCTGAACCACGGTCGACTACGCAGGAGTCCAACAACATAGCCATTATGCCAACTGCCGGTTTTCTTCTTCTTCTTCTTCTTCTTCTTTATTTTTTTTTTAAAAAAGGTCTTTTGTTTTCCTTTATTCATGACAGAATGTGTGCATGCAGGGATGAGGATGTGAGAGAGAGGGGCACCCTCCACAGGGTCTGGTCACGGCATGATCCCCTTCCTCCAGCTCTCCAGCCTCTGAGATCCTGGGCACCTGCGTGTGCCTGGCGTGTTTCAGGTCAACTAGCAGGAGGCTGCGACCTCAGTGGCCATATGCAATCCTGCTTCCGCTAAGCAGCACATTACTCATGCGCAACAAAGCCGACCAGTTTTATTTTAAAAACTTGGAAGTCAGATACCAGCAGTTGACGTAATTGGCAGTGTGTGAAAAAACCCTCCAACAGCCCAGCTGCCACCCGGCTCTTTACGCCGATCCCTGGAAAGCAGCTCGCACTTGTCCCCCGCTCCACCCTGGACAGCCCCACCCCGTTCAGGGTCACCGCTGCCCCCAGGGCTGCAGACCCCGCGGGTTTTTTTAAAATTTGCCATTGGATGTGCGCACTTGTGGAGGATGGGGGAGCAGGTTTGAGAATAAGAAAGCACCTCCCTGGGGTAAAAGACCACACCATCATCCCTTCGCCTTCATTTTCCTCCCAGGATTTTGGGTACCTACACATGCCAGATGTGTTTTTCAAGCCACTGAGTTCATCCCATATGGGAGCCAGCCACCTAAACCACCATGCCACAGGCCGGCCTCAGATTTAATTTCTAATAGGGAGGCAGGAGAAAGCTAGTAAGGGACCAGCAGGTGGCGTGATGGTTAAGGTGCTGGACGCTCCCACAAGGCCTACCATGGTTTGAGTCCCAGACCTGGTGGCTTGCTTTCTCACTTTCTCTGTCTCTCTCTGGTCAAATTAAAAAATAAATGAATGAATAAATAAAATTAAATAATTTTTAAAAAAGGAAAATGGAAGTAAGTGGGCTGGGTTGGAACATCTGCCTATGTGATTAGATAGAAAAACTTGATCAGGGTAGAAAATTCCCTGCCTCTCCTGTCATGTAGGCAGGACATGAGGGGGCAGGCGTGTCTAGCTGATTAGGCCACATTTGATAGAGCTAATGAGAAATCAGTGGGACTAGCCACATTTCATAGAGCCAATGCAAGGAGAACCAGCAGTGGGTCCCAGCTGATGATCAATCAATATGACCTAGATTAAAAAATTATAAGCCTTGGGCCCATAATGGCTTTGTCACTGGACTCCCATGTAGTCGACTGTGGTTCAAGTCCTGGACCCAGTGGCTTAAAAGCATGCCGGGCGCCTGTGCGTGCGTGTCCGAGATCTGGAGAAAATGGAGAAGGGATTATGGCGTGGCCATTCCCCTGGGGGGTGATTTCTCGCTGTCTCTGTCCTTTCCCTCTTTTTCTGGCGAGCGCACGCCCCCTATAGCAAAAACCTCTCCAAAAAAAAAAAAAAATTATAAACCTCGCAGAATGTAACTGTGCTCTTTCTCTGTTCGCTTAGGCCCGCTCCTACCCCCTCGGGAGTGTACTTTCGCTTTCGCTTAATAAACTACCTTTTCCTTTCGCTATTGGTGTGCTACGTTCAGTTCTTTGTCCGAGAAAGCAAGAACCTGGACATCCTCCCTGAAGCCATGTGGCATAATTATGATCCACATAAACAAAGAGTCTTTGGGTTCCTCGATAACTTTTGGTAGCAGTGGAGAGTTTCCAAGGCCCAAAAGCTGGGGAACTCCCCCCACCCACCCCCCACCCCCCCGTCTTCAGGAACCCGAACCTGGTGTTTGCTGAGACCATGGACCTGTCCCTTTCTACTGAGTCAAGGCCATTGGCAGTGTGCGAAAAAACCCTCCAACAGCCCAGCTGCCACCTGGCTCTTTACGCCGATCCCTGGAAAGCAGCTCACACTTGTCCCCCACTCCACCTTGGACAACCTCACCCCGTCCTGGGTCACCGCTGTCCCCAGGGCTGCAGACCCCGCGGCTGGCCGCGGCCTCGCGGGCCTGCCCAGCGC